CACTGGAACTGGCAGGAACTGGAAGCGGGGGAAATTCGAGAAGGTTTCTTCCCCATGGCCCAGGGACCCCTACCCAAATGGAGACCCAGGCCGCGGAGCAGGCACCACCTCACCATCCTTCTAGAGCACAACTACAGCAAACTTCCGCGCCGCCGTGCAGGACCGCAGCCAGCAATACAGGCACCAGCCCCTCCTCGTCAGCGCTGCCGGCGCTAGAGAAAGCCAACAGGCTAAAGCCGAGCCCCCCCGGTGTGACGGTGAATCCGGTTTCAGGCTCCCCGTACGCTGACAAAGAAGAAAAAGCACGTTCTGCTCCGGCAGGGCCGAGCCAGGCCTGCGGGGCGCCAGTGGTCAGGGACGGAGCAGCCGGCGTCACGGTGGCCCCAGCAGGTACCAGCACGAACGTCCCGAAGGCAGCGCCTGCGGCCTCAGGAGGGACCAGCTTAGAGGCTTCTAAAAGCAAATCTCCTGCCCCTCTGGTGTCTTCACTGACAGGCGCGAGCTCAGAAGGGCAGGCTGGGGCTGTGGCCGCGTCTGCCGCGTCCGTCCCGCCCTCGAACGCTTCGTCGGTAGCGCCCAGCCTTAAACCTCATCCGAGTTCGAGCTCAAGTGGGGCCTTCCCAAAACCAAGCTCCAGTATTCCCGCGAACAACCCTTTGGTCACCCAACTTCTTCAAGGCAAGAACGTCCCTCTGGAGCAAATCCTGCCGAAGCCTCTCACCAAAGCAGAGATGAAAACTCTCCCGTCAGCTGCTCATGAGGAAAAAGGGGCAGCAGCAGCGGCGGCATCCAGTGCTACAGGCGTAGCAGGGAACGGCCCTGCAGCCGAGGGTGGTGAAAGACAATCGAGTTTGCACACACAACAGCTTGGGAAGATCTTTTGCCAGAACAGGCCTCTGCCTCACATTCCAAGGACCTTTCCCCTCCCCTCGGGAAAGGACCCCAGTCTTGACCAGCACCAGTGCCACGAGGCGCTCAGCAAAACCACCCAAGAGCAGATCCTTCAGACTCTCATCAAGAGGGTCCAGAGGCAGAATTTGTTGCCAGTCCTTCAGCCTTCGCAACTGAACCTCACTCACTCAGGTTTCCAGTTAGAAAACAGCTCCACCAGCCAGAGGTTTATGCTGGGTTTCATGGGCAGAAGGACATCCAAGCCTGCTATGTCTGGTCATTATCTGCTCAACATTTCCACCTATGGTCGTGGTTCAGAGAGTTTGAGGAGAGGCTTCTCCTTGAACCCTGAAACACGCTTGTGTCTGAACAGTCCTGCTGATGCTCCAAAACCAGAATTTGGGGAGTGTGAGGAGACAGGTGGCCCCGGCAGCAGCAGCGATGAAGGAGATGCGGACGACGAGAGCACTGGTGACGAACATGAATGTATCAGTGTAAAAGAGGAGCCTCAGGCTTCGCAGGTCTCTGGTCAGTGTGAAAAAGATCAAGTATTGCACAGCATAAATTCTTCGGATTACAGCAACCTTGCTAAAAGGGGTGTCAAGACGGAAGCGGCCGCGTCTCAGCGCGCAGCGGGCAGCAAGGAGAGCGCCCAGGCGTTCGACGGAACTACGTTAGCACGAGATTTCATTCAAGCCGCTCAAGAGCAAATGGCACACGCAATGAGGGGGAAGACGCACGGCAATCCGGAGCTTTTCAGTACTCCTGGGCCGCCCTCGGACTCTGCGCAGCAGCAGCCTCCGCTGCTCTCCCCGGTGCACCCTCCAAAGCTGTCCGGCAGTGCTGCAGCGCAGCTCATCGGGCCCAGTTACAGTGGCACAATAAACGTCTCCACCTCCCCGGACGTGAACCAAGGGTCTCTGATGACTGGGCTCTCTGAATGCAATCAGTTGTCCAGTAGCATGGGGAACGTCATGTCCTTTTCCGTGACTGTAACCACCATTCCCACCAGCCAAGCTATCAGCTCTGGCAACCACGCTCCGACCATCCCCGTTCAAGCCTTCGCTGAAGACCACAGCATGGAGGATTCCCCTTCCAAATGTTACTGCAGGTTGAAAGCCATGATCATGTGCAAGGGCTGCGGTGCCTTCTGCCATGACGATTGCATTGGCCCCTCTAAGCTCTGTGTCTCCTGCCTCGTTGTGCGGTAACCGGGACGGGAGGGGGAAGAGGATGGCTTGGGTTCGGGTTTGCTTTCGGAAGTACGTTGGGAAGAAACGGGAAATTTACTGCCTTGCACAAGAGACACGTTACTGAATCAGGAATACAGAGTAGAGTCCTTCTTTCATTAAAGAAAGAGCACCTTCTTGTACAGTGAGTCTAAATTGAGCTCAACTACGTGAATTGTGACAAGAGTTTGCACTTAAGGAATTATGTAAATATGTCACATTATTTTGTTTAAAAATATTTTTTCAGTCTTTTAGGAGGTAGTGTTTGACTTGTACTGCAGTTTCATTAACCCCAGCCTGCTCTCCAGCCTGTTTGCTGAGCTCTGCTCTAGGTGGGGGAACGACTCCCCGGCAAAACCTTAGCCTGTCGTTGCTCTTCTCTGGACAAAGAGAAGAACCAGATAATCGAGGAGCTAAACGTTCGTACTGACGGACCGCAGAGCGCCGAAGCGGGAGCCCCTCACGGGCTCCCTTTATCGCTCTAAATTCTAGTTCCAATCTTTCAGCGCTGGGAGGCGTTAACGCTGTGCCGGCCTTCCAGGTAATCGCCTTTCGCTTGTGACCAGGCTGTTTCCAGAATGCACCCTGGGTTGTGCAATATTGGCTGGTGGTGTTGGTTTGCATATCCTCTCCTCTCCCAGGAGTCAGCTGCAGTCACCTCGTTTTAAGGAAGGTAGTGTCTTGGTTTGCCACTGGTAAATACTGAAAAAGGCAACTGTACTAACCATAGGATTCAAGAATTTAAATCACTAAAACAACTCGGTAACCGTGATGAGGGGTAATCCCGGGAACCGTTTAAAGCAGAGATCACAAATCTGTGCTGAACTGCGTTTGGTTCCGGGCTGTCAGGGCTCGGCAGGAATCGGCTTCCTGAGGCATTTCGAGTGAGCTGGGAGGTGCCGCCCCGCCGCCACGAACCGTCGGTGGTTCCGATACGTGGTGCAGGCGAAGCGCACGAGGCATCGCTGGCTGCTGCTGCCCCGGCAGCTTCCCGTCCTTCTCCCGCCCCTGCAATAGTCAGGCGCCTCTTCATTTCTGTAGAAGATTTGATATTTCGCTAAGGAGGGAAAGGAAAACAAGTGTCTTGCGGGGCCTCGCCATTAGCCCGCTGGGGGGGTCTCTCTCTGTGTTTTAAAATACCAAATCAGGCTCGACTCGGCTTGGATTTTGCTCAGCTGTGGTCCGGGGTTGCGTTGAGGCT